AAAAAAAAAAAAAAAAAAGATGGTCTGCATGCTGTTAACCTCTCTACACTTCAGTTTCTTCATCTCAGGGAGTTGAATATTTCCCTATTGCATGATGAAGGATAAACAAATCAACCAATTAAAATAAGGCTACACAAACACATAAGAGACACTGCTGCAAGGGCTTTATTTACCCTAATTCTTATTAGTATTTACAACATGATCTGTTTGTAGTACCTACAGGTAATTAGAATCTGTGATGATGCTTGTTGTTGACAGTTGGGCTGTCAATTTGTGTAAGAAAAAGTCATAACTATTAGAAGGTTTAGCATAGTGCTGTGGTAACCACAAGGGTCTAAAGACACACACAGTGCAAGTTTTAGAGCCACAGATAGTGTTTTATTAGGCTATCAAATACATTTGAAAAAACAAATGAATTTTGGGAAATGATTCTATGACTAAAGACGTAAAAGGAATTTTATGTATCCAAAAGCTTGCTTGTTTTATTCTCTCCAGCCCAAACAGGTAGATCTAAAATAAATTTTATCTTTAACTGTAAACTGTATGTTGACCATGTAGTGTAAATTACTGCTACTTAAGCAAGTCATCATTGCATATTTGTGGAGCCAAATCATTTTGTACTGCTGGTACAGTGCAAGGAAGATAAAATAGGTGTGCTAACTGCTTCCATGTCCTGCATCCTTTGTACACTGGCAACTATATCTGCACATCAGAGCCAAGGTTGCTGAGCACTGGCAGGGTCACTCATCCCTCTGTCCTGCACTGGGTGATGTGGGCTGCTGGTTTCTGTGCAACAGCTGAGTGGAAAACATGGGTGTCCAAACAGGGCTACTCTTACTCCTTCCCCTCATGGCTCCTGCTGATTCCTTCCACCTCTCATGCTTTATTTCTTGCCAAGGACGGGCCTGAACTAGCAAGTGGGGGCTGCACAATTCTGAGGTATTTCAACTGGGGTTTAGGTCTCCTCCTCACAGCTACAAGAGCAGGGCTCTTTCTTTGGGAGCAACAAAAGCACAGCCACTGCCCAGGCAGAGACAGAGCTCAGGCAGAATATGGAGTTAGTGGCTTTTGCTGTCTGAAGATCACAATGACATCTTGCCCAAGTTGTTCTGGGAATTAACCAAAAAAACCCCAAAGCACCTGGTCAGAATCTGTGAAATGGAGCTGCCACTTTCAAATTTCTCCCACTGTTACAATTTTTTCCCTGCCCAATTTTCAGATGGAAACACAACACCAGATTTCGGGAGTCATAATTTTATATAACAAGACAACAGCCTGCAGTAATGTGGCTGTTTGAGGACAGACATACAACCAACCCATGACCTTTACAGAGAACAACTTTTTTTGTTTGGTTCATTAGATTTTTTAATTCACTGAATTATTAAATACATCTTAGCAGCCTGAACAGTGAAGGTCTTGCAGATACCTCTCAAGTTATTGGAACAACATTTCTTACCCTGCTGGAGGCTCTAAATTCCAGGGTACAAATGCATAACAGCCACTGTGTAATTTACCACACACCAGCTTAGCTGCACTGTGATTTACCACACATTAGCTATGGTAAAAGTTGTGATTTTCCACCTGCATGTACTAATCTCAGCTCTTTTGTGAGACAAAAATACATTACTTTTTGTTTTAAAGAAAGATGCTGAGGCTTGTTTGTACCACCCTAGACCAGCACATGATGGGAACTGGGAATTTGAATAATCACAGCTCAGCTTGTTAGCAGTATGAGATGCTCACCTGTGGCGAGAAAAAACAAGCAAATTATTTTCTTGTGTGATATGAAAATGGAGTTTGTTCTTTAGGTCTAATTGCACTGCAGCTGAGTACAGACTGTGCTGCTCTGCTTTTCACTACTGAACTCCCTGTGTGCTCCAGGAGCTGCCCAGACATCTGCACCAGTGAGAACAGGGGCTGGCTTGAGACAATGAACCAGCTTGAAAGTAGGGGATTGACTGAGCTCCATCACTGTTTGACTGATCCCCTCATGTGAGAGCTTCAGACAGTCCTACAAATTCCCCCAAGGCATCTCCTGTTATGTCTAGTTTAATTTATATGCTTAAATATGTTGGTTAACATCCTGAGTTGAGCACCCCAAATATTCCTCCAGGTAATTTTTGTGAAGAAATGCACATTGCACATATACAAGACTATTTGTCAGTAGTCAGTAGAAACTGCTTCTGTACTCACAGTCACAGATGGATTGCTGAATTATAAATTTTTATTAAGACAGTGGTTCAAGTTTCCCAATCTAGCTGCAGACTCAGCTGCAAGCACCCTTCCAATGGAGACTCCCTGCCACCAAAGGACAGCAAGCAAATAAATTAAGAAACATGTGGGAAATCAAATCTCCCAGTTTATGTTATTATCCAAATAAATGTGGTTTTCCTTTTTAACAAACACTCAGCCATTATTATCTGTCTGAAATGTGTATGAGCCCCCTGTCCTGTTGGGAAATGCTACAACAGTCACCCAAAGAAATGCTTGCATATGGTTTATAGCATTTTAAAGGCAAGACATGAATTACACATTGCCGGTGGTTATGAGGTTTGAGTTTTGGCTGTGGTTGACTGTTCTCTGTACTAATAGTAACCGGTCCCTTGCCACAGAGTCTGTCCACAACAGGACTCAAGCTGAGCTGGAGACCTGCTCAGCCACATTAGTAAGAATTACATGGTTGCCTCACTAAAAATGTGTGCAAAGCAGGAGAAGCTTTACCAAAACAAGTAAAACTCATGAAAGAGTTTGAATTCCAGATTCGGCTCCTTCCAGTGCTGCTACAGCTCTCCTGTCCCAGCTCTGGTGCTCCTTCTTGCTCCTCTGAGGCTGTTCCTCTGCTCAGATGTTGGTGACATATTCCATGTCTTCAGATCCAGTAAGGTGATCATGTCATTTTCACTGCCCACCTGTATCACCTTGGGGTCTCCACCAGCCGAGCTGGATCTCCCCATGTACCTACCTGTTGCAGTAAAGTGGAAAAATTATTAAAATAGGTCTGTCAAAGTCAAGCGTGCTCTCCTGAAATCAGTGGCTGGCCTTGTCAAACTAGCACTTTGCAAGTTCTCATGTGAAAGCAATCCTGGTGTGAGCAGTTCCTTAACATAACAAACTATTCCTGGGTGAAAAACAACCAGCACCTGTATAAACTGTTTTACACTGTTAGAAAAATGAAAACTATCTCTCACAAACAACTCTCTCTGCACATACACACTGGAGTGACCAATTAATACAGAATAACAACTTGTTACTAACCAATAATTGGCAAAAAAACTACTACTAACCAATAGGAGTCACACACAAAATCTGTAAAACTGTATAAAAAGGAGTTATGTGAATAAAGAATGGCTTTTTTCCACCAAGAAGAAAACGGAGTCCGTGTAATTAATTCCCACACTTGTCCAAGGGAGCCTCTAACCCCGCTTCCAGCTGCAAGGGTGGGTCACAACGCCCCGGCACACCGGGAACGGGGCGGAGCAGCGGCGGTGATCCGGCCTGAGGGCGGCGCTGCCCCTGAGGGCGGCTCTCCCCCTGACCGCGGCACTGCCCCTGAGGGCGGCACTGCCCCTGAGGACGGCTCTCCCCCTGACCGCGGCACTGCCCCTGACCGCGGCACTGCCCCTGACCGCGGCTCTGCCCCTGAGGGCGGCTCTGCCCCTGACCGCGGCACTGCCCCTGAGGGCGGCACTGCCCCTGAGGGCGGCACTCCCCCTGACCGCGGCACTGCCCCTGAGGGCGGCACTCCCCCTGAGGGCGGCACTGCCCGTGAGGGCGGCACTCCCCCTGAAGGCGGCACTGCCCCTGAGGGCGGCACTCCCCCTGAGGGCGGCACTCCCCTGAGGGCGGCTCTGCCCCTGACCGCAGCTCTCCCCCTGAGGGCGGCACTGCCCGTGAGGGCGGCACTCCCCCTGAAGGCGGCACTGCCCCTGAGGGCGGCGCTCCCCCTGAGGGCGGCACTCCCCTGAGGGCGGCACTGCCCGTGAGGGCGGCTCTCCCCCTGAGGGCGGCTCTCCCCCTGAGGGCGGCACTCCCCTGACCGCGCGCACGCGCGGCGCTGCAGCAAGATGGCGGCGGCCGCGCTGTGCTGGGCGCTGAGGGCGGCTCGGC